ATGTAAAGGACAGTCAGAGAATCAAGAAGGCAGGAGAAGAATATAAAAACAACCTCTCTTCTTTAATTTTGGCTCCAGGGAAGCCTTTTAGTAAGGATCAAAAACAGTAAGGAACTAGAGATGACTATTCCTAGAAACCAAAGGAAACTCTGTATCACCAAATTCATCCTTAAATGACTTAAGAATTTTTTTCCACATGTGAAAGACCAACATGTTATAAGGTAAATATAGCCAACTCCCAATTAGCTGGGGGAAGGAAAAAGAGGTAGCATGGCATTTTTTTTTGGATGAGACTTGTGATTTCATTGATAGAGAGAACTTCTAGTAAAGAAATGCCTTTTGTCAATGCAAGTTAGTTACTATTCTTTAACACGTAGTCTTGAAGACATTCAGATATTCACTTGCATGTCATGGCATCACCTCCATGTTGTCATGGTTCTCTTTGAGAATGAAGGACAAACAACAAAAACAACGACTCTGAATTCTAATCCCTTCTCAGTCTGTCAACTAGTATTTTTTCAAGTGCCTACCTACTGTGTATCAGGCACTGTGCTAAGTGCTGAGGATACAAAGAAAGACAAAAGACATTCCTTGTTCTCAAGGAGATTACCATCTAATGGGGGCAATATGAACAGAAAATATGCAAAAAACAAACTAAATAGATTTTCATCCTTCAAGATGTAGCTTCCTCCATGAATACCTTCTTTACTCTCCCCCTCTCCTTACCAAGTAAAAATTGATCCTTCTTTGAACTTTAAATTGCACTTCATTTATATCTTTATTACAGACTTATCTTGTTTTGTTTTGTATCATAATTAATTGTGTATGTGTTAACAGAAGGACTTAAACCCATGTTTCTCAGATGCCAAGGTAAGCTATCTACCATGCCATGATGGCTTTCCACACTGGGTACTTCTCCAATCCTATGGTTAACACAGCCCTCCATGACTAGGACACCCTCCCTCTTCTACTTTTCAGAAGATGACTGCCTTTCAGAATCCTTATCTTCCTCCAAGGTTCAGCTCATTTTCTACCTTCTCCATGAAGGCTTTTTTTGATCCTATTCCACATCCCTCCAAATCCTCTTTGCAACCACAAATACTCAATTTAACCATATTTCATATTATATTCCACCACCACCACTCCATAGGACGTAGGCTCCTTGAAGGCATACTATCTCTTTTTTTAATAACTTTCTCTATAGCACTTCATACATATTAGTTGCTTAAGAAATGTTAACCTCATTGAAAAATTGCCAGTTGTTTGTGTGATTTTGGGTAGGTGCTTTAACATCCTTTGTTTCATTTCTCTCATCTGTTTGATGGGGGATATATCACCTAACTCTTTCACTACAGGGCTAAAAAGCAAGACTATAACATTTTGCAAACAAGATAGAAATAGATACCATGGGGAAAAGGAGCATGACAGGGGAAAATGTAGGTGATGGGAAAACAAAAGGTATAATAAAATCCGTTTTTCAGAAAAAAGAAAGAAAGAAATAGACAACATGAATGGAAACATTTGACAACCTGGGATTTCTTTAAATAAACCTGACTTGTCAAACACATCCTTTCCCATAGTATATATTTTTTCCCTCAAAATCATACAAAAATGCAGAAGAAGAAAAAAGATGAAAGACAGAAAAAACCCCCAAATTCTCAGCACATTACTTTCTCATGCCTCCTAAGAGAATATTTGTAAAGTGGTTAGCGTAGTGCCTGGTACATAATAGGTATTTAATAAATAAATCCTTGTTCCCTTCCCTTCCCTCTAAAACACACACACACACACACACACACACACACACACAGAGTAAGGAACCAAGGCAAAGTAGAGGGTGCTCTTATCCAATCTTTTTCATTCAGATTCATCAACATTCCCTCCTAGGTTACCTCTAGCATACTATTGGCATCTTTTCCTGAAGAGTCTGTATATCCAGAGTTTGAATTTGCTACTACGAGGAAAATGTTTGGGTTGTAAACTCCATGAGGTCAAGGATCATGTTTTATTGCTCCTTGATCTCTTCTGGGGCCTATCACTGAGTTTCATAAATATTAGTAGGTAAAAAGGCAATACTGCTGGCCTTGGAGTCAGTAAGACTTGCCACTGACCCATACTGGCTATATGACCCCGGACAATTTTTCTCTTTTACCCCATGGGATGGTGTCCCAGAAATCTCCAAAATTCCTACCTAGGATTCTGCAAAGACCACTACAAAGGATCATAGTAGACAGGAGGGGTGACTGCAACCTTCTCACTAAGGACATTTTTCTCTACTGAAATGACACAGAAATGCCTGACTAGTTCCCATGACTGGGTGATTTGCCAAAAATGACTGGTGATTGAGGCTGGGGGAGCTGCCTATTCTATGGTTTATATGGGGGTTAAGAAGAAAGGGTTCCACCTCTTTCTGGGCACCCTTCTCTGGTGGGACTTCTTTGCAGCATTTTCTTCCTAAGGAAAATTAACATTGTGCTGTATTGTTTAATAACTAGTGTTACTCTGTGATCCATCCTTTTGCTCATTTTGTAGGATTCCACTTCTAAAGGGAAGGCAGTTGCTGAAGTGTGTGACTGAGTAAAGCGATCACTCTCAGCCCCCAAAGAATATACTTGCTAACCAGCTTGGGCTAGGCCCTCCCCAGGACACAAGTCTCTTGTTCTTGCTTTTCTTTCATCTATTAGGAGGAGAACCTGGATGTGAGTCATATGTAACCTTTGCTTTAGAGATTTCTTTGGAATTGCCCTATGGTGGGAGAGAAACACAACCAATACTTTCCCCCCTCTTCACTCACCAACCCCGAACTAATCAGGAATTGCTATGCCATCTGGAAGGCATCTCTCTCAGCCGTATGCCTCTTATCACTACCACACAATTTGGAGTTGGAAGCAAACTTGGGGATCATCAACTTCAGCTCCATTATTTTATAAATTAGAAAACTGAGGTCATAGAGATGAAATGGCTTTCCTGAGATCATTCGAGTTACAGATAACAGAAGCTGGGTTTAAAGCTAGTAGCAGATAGTGGCAAAGAAATGGAAATCGAAGGGATGCCCATCAATTGAGGGGAATGGTCGAACAGGTTGTGGTATATGATTGTAATGGAATATTACTGTGTTAATAAGAAATGACGAGCAGGCAGATTTCAGAAAAAACCTGGAAAGACTTACATGAACTGATGCAAAGTGAAGTGAGCAGAACCAGGAGAACATTGAACACAGTAACAACAATATTGTATGATGATCAACTGCGAATGATTTAGCTATTTTCAGCAATACAATGATCCAGGACAATTCCAAAGGACTCATACTGAAAAATGCTATCTGCCTCCAGAGAAAGAAAAGATGGAGTCTGAATGCAGATCAGAGCATATTATTTTTCACTTTTCATCTTATTTTTCATGTTTTTCTCCCTTTGGGTCTGTGTCTTCTTTTACAAGATGACTAATATGGTAATATGTTTTGTATGATTGAACATGTATAGCTTGTATCAAACTGCTTACTGTCTTATGGAGGGAGGAGTTCAGGGAAGGAGAAAGAAAATTTGGAACTCAAAATAAAAAAAAAAGTAAATGTTTAAAATCGTCTTCACATGTTAACTAGAGGGAAAATAAAATATAAAAATTAAGTTATCAGCAGAGTATAAAATTAAATGCTAAACCATGTGACATGGACACAAGTGCTAGAGAAATGCAGAAAAGGAAAAGATAAGAATAGTGAAAACTTTTCAGGTGTACTTTGAAGAAAGGGTATGAGATAAATTTTTTGTTTTCCATAGGCTTTTCAACTAAATCCTTTGATTTTCTGATATATGTATTTTAATAGGTAATGGAAGGCAAAGATGGGTCCTTGTCCTCAAGGAGCTTACATTCTAATGGGGGAAAGAACATGCAAACGACTATGTATATACAAGACAGATACAGTAGAATGGGAGATATTTTCTTCTTACAGTAAAATAAATGGGAGGTAATCTTGGATGGAAGACCCTAGCAATGAAATTGGGGGGAAGGGGAAGAGCAATGATGGCCAAAGGTGAGTCTTAGAGGAAGCCAGGGAAGTCAGGTAGAGGTGAGGAGGGAAAGCATTCTAGATATGGAGGATTGCCAACACAGAGTTGGAGAACAGCCAGGAGACTGGCATATCTCGAACAACACTGTATGTTGTCCCCCCGTGCACTTGTTAGCATTTTTATGATGTGAACAGCGACCACTAGATCCACTGTTTTTCTGCTTGTAGTCCCACAAAAATACATCATATATTCAACCATTAGTCACTTTTTATAGCATATTTCTAATCCCAAGATGGCTTCCCTCTTCTATCCCAGAAGCTTCTGAGCTGTCATCCCCAAATGGCCAATTGGTGCATGCTCAAAGAATGCAAAATAATGTTAAATTTAGACTAAGCAAAACATAATTAGGAAGGTAAATCTGCTCTCCCCTATCCCTTGCCCCCCCAAATAAATCAGAGTAAATTCCAAAGTTGAATATAAATGATTTTTGTAAAAGCCTATTGCTTTCAGAGTAAGGTAGCATGGCATAGCAAACAGAGTAATGGGTTTGGAGTCCAGATTCAAATTCTATTTTTGATACTTACTGACTGTATGACCTAGCACAAGTCATGGACCCTATGTGTCTTAGGTAGCTTCCTAGGACTTCAATATGAAGTCATAGATGAGTTGTAGTCTGTTGGTGGGAGATGCCTATTCTGAAAAGCAACCAAGTGGCATAGCAAATCGAGTGCTGGATTTCAAGGTAGAAAAACCTAAGTTCTGATCCTACCTTAGACTCTTACTAGTGGTGTGACCCTGGTCTTCCTGACTCCATGTCTAGTGTTCTAACCACTGCACTACCTACCTGCCATACCTATCTAATACTTGCTGATTCCAGGACAGGCTGAGTACAGCTTATTTAAGGAATCACACCAAGTTGGAAAAGCATCCAAACACAGAGGGAAGTGGACTAGGAAGGCTTCCAATTGTCTCTGGGGAAAGGGACACACTTACCTGGGTTTGGGAAGGCCTAAAAGCAGAGTCAAAGCCATACTGTAGGGAATCTAGGAAGGGCTGGATCTTGTACAGGCCATGAGTTGTCTGGCTGGAACGGAAAGCCACCACATGGAAGTACTTGAGGATCTTCTCAAAGCGGGACTGGCTCATGACAAGGGCAATGCTTTTGTTACTGTAGAAGCCGCTGCTCCAGATGCTGAGAACAGACTCGCAATGGTAGATGCTCGTGGAAATCATGTAACCCAGGAAAGCCTTCATCTCGGTCAGGGTCACTTCTGCCCAGGCCCCATCACTCCCAAACCTCTCCTGATACTTCTTGGCATACATGTTTGTCTGCACCACCATGTTTTTAAGAACGTTGTCGGGGACAAAGAGCTGGAAGAAGTCCATGGCACTGGAACTGGGGGGCATCTTTCGGGTTGGACCTAAACCCACAAAAAAGAAGAGGATTACTGATTATCACCATCTGTATACTTCACGATCACAATCATAACAAATAGAAAACCTAGACATTCAAAGGATCATAGGCTCATAGATTTTGAACCAGGAGGGACCCAAGAGATCATTTAACATTCAACACTTTTATTTTATTTTTTTATTCATAAATCATGTATTTAATAACTGATCATATAGCCAAGTTCACCTACATGTTTGTGTATCCACTAATTCGATCCTCATGCCCTCCTTCCCCCAAATGGAAAGATTAAGGCAAATGTAGTATTCAAGGGACATTTCTGAAGTAAAAGAAAGAAAACCATGAACTTCTTCCCTCCATGTTTCAGCACAGAAAAAATAAGTAATGCTCGGAGTCCTCAGGGTTGCAAGAATAAAAATGAAATTTCTTGGCCAAATGAGGAGTTAAGAGCATTAGTCCGTATACAGAAACAGTAAGCAACATCTTCATTTTACATATAAGAGCTAATAAGATACTCTAGTCCTGATACTTTTATCAAGTGAGAACATTTATGTTAAATCAATCAAATAAATGTTCACCCAGTCATATAGCCTGTGGGAATCCTACAAAACCACCAAATAGTCTCCCCTTGACAGGTGACTATGTCACCAATTTTGGTGAGAGGGAAAATATTTTGTACTATTTTTTTACTGAACCATATTAGTAAATATCCTGAACTAAAAGCTAAATCTGGCCGGCCAACTGATATCAACTAATAATCAATCAAGAAACATTTACCAAGCGCCTGCTATGTACACTGAACTGCTATGCACTATGTTAAGCGCTGAGTCTACAAAAAAGAAGCAAGACATAGTCCTTGTTCTCAAAGAGCTTACAGTCTAATGAGGAAGACAACATGTCAAAAAAATATAGACAAAGCAAGCTATATGCAGGATAAATAGGAGATAATGAACAGAGGGAAGGCACTGGAATTAAGAGCGGTTAGGGAAGGCTTCCTGTAGAAGGTGAGATTTTAGTTGGGACTTGTAGGAAGCCAGGGAGGACAGTAGTTGGCATGGAGGAAGGAGAATATTCAGGCATGGGGGACAGCCAGAAAAAATACTCAGAGCTGAGAAACAGAGTGTCTTGTTCATGGAACAGCCAGGAGGCCAGTGTCACTGGATAGAAGAGTATATGGTGAGGAGTAAGATATAAGAAAACCAGAAAGGTAAGAGGGGGCTAGGTTATGAAGGGCTCTGAATGCCAAAGAGAACATTTAAGAGAAAGACACTAGAGTTTATTGGGGGTGGGGGAGAGAGAAGGAGTGACATGATAGGACCTTCATTTAGGAAAATCACTTTGATGGCTGAAAGGAACATGGATTGGAATGAGGAGAGACTTAAGACAGGCTGACTCACCAGCGGCTATTGGAATAATCAAGACATGAGGTGATAAAGGCCTGCGCTAAAATGGTGGCAGTATCAGAGGGGAGAAGGGGATGTTGCAAAGAAGAGATTTACAGGCCTTGACAACAGCTTAGATATAAGGGGTAAGAGATAGTGAGGAATCCAGGATGACTCCTAGGTTGTGAGCCTAATGGACTTGAAGGATCATATTTTTACAAAAGTTAATGACTAAAAAGTCTCCAATTCATCCCTTCATCCCAGCCTCTAATCCAAAAGAAAAAGAGTACCAGAATCCCAGATGCCTGGTTTATCATTGTAGGAAGATGAGTTATGTAACATCTTACCTAAAGCATACTTGGAAACCAAGAGACTCAAAATCAATGACCTTGTGTTAAAGGTTTGGTGTATTTATTCCTCCCTCTATGATTAGTCTTGTCAAACAGGACTCTAAGCTCATGGAGGGTAGGGATAACATCCCTCCTTTTCCATAAGTATCTCCCTAGAGCACCCAGTGTAGCACTGAGTCCATAATAAGGGCTAAAATAAACACCTGTTGAATGGAAATTAAGCTGAACACATCTGGACATTTATGCAAATTAAGAAATCACATCAGGCTTTATAGAAATGGGACTACAGGGAAGTAAATCTTTCCATCTAAACTGCATTACTGGGGCATTAGATGTGCACAGGTTCACTTGAGGACATTAGTTATGTCAATGCCACGTCTCTGTCAGGGACTTGGAATATTCCATAGCCTACATCCTTCCTGCAAGATTGCCCATGATTTCAGAATGATCTTCTGTCCAACCTCTTGATGTACCTAATCCTATCATTTCCATTAATTGGGGAGATGATAGAAATATTGACCTGAAGTGAAAAGAGCAAGGTATGTGTTCATGATTGGGGGTGAGGGGAGGACATAAAGAGAGAGGATGTAGAAGGGAGACAACAATTCCACTTAACTATTCAACCATATTCTCAGGGCCCTGCTAATGTTTTCTAAGTCAAAGCTCAGTTCAAATGCCCTGTCCTACAGAGGCCTTTCCTGATCCTCATAGCTGCCTCAACCTTTCTCATACCAGATTTCCTTGTATTTATTTGTATATACTTCTATATGTGCATAATATCTCCCTCAAGAGAGTATAAATTCCTTTTAAAAATCCTTTTAAAAACTCCTTTTAAATCATTTTTTAAGATCATTTTTTCTCTGTATCCCCAGTGCCTAGCACATGGAAGGCACTTAATAAGTTTATTGATGGATCTTATTATTTTGCCTATTAAAGCAAGGAGGCAGGCTTTCACCACTGAGCTCCTACTTTCCCAGGTCCTTCCCCTTATAATCTCCCCCAGATTCAATTAGGCAGATGAATGTTGCCATCCAGCTCCCAGAGTGTTGCTCAGTTGTGTCCGACTCTTTGTGATCTCATCTGGGTTTTTCTCAGCAGAGATACGAGAGTGGTTTGCCATTTCCTTCTCCAGCTATTTTACAGATGAGGAAACTGAGGCAAATGGGCTTAAGTGACTTCCCAGGGTTACACAGCCAGTAAGTGTCTGAGGTCAGATTTGAACTCAGGAAGATGAATCTTCCTATCACCAAGCCCAGTACTCTATCCACTGCACCACCTAGCTGCATGGACAAAAAAAAGTTTATCACCAACAATTTTCTAGAGGCATATTCATGTTTAATAGTTGCTGAGCCAATAAATCTTTATGGGTGGAGAAAGGGAGTCTCCTTATTCAAGGCTATCTTAAACAAATGCAATTTTTCCAAGTTCATGTAGTTTAACACAGCATGGACTAATTAATGGTAGTCACTTCTATATAAATCAGTCCAGGAGTGATCTGGAGTCAGCAGGAACTAGCTTGTGAGAGTTGATTGTTAAATTTTCAGTGAGAGCACTGATACCCTGGGAATCAGCAAACACCATTAATCGGGCTTGATTTATTGTTTTGTTGATGGCCTAGATTTAAGAAAGCAATGGAGAAAATGTTAATAATGCAAATTAAATTTAGAAATATGTTGTGTAAAAATTTTCCTCTTAGAAAGCCAGTTGTTAAATATTTTCCAGCACAGTCCTAAATCAGTTCCTCTTGAAGATTTGAAAAACCTGTATCTTTGAGCATTATTATCATCCTTCTCCTATATCTTGTTTCCTGTTCATTGATAATCTCTTTCAAGAAAAGTTTTTCTAAGTGAAGATAAGTTTCAGCTTTGTTTCTAATTCATAGCTTAGAAGACAGTAGCTTTATACCTAGAAGGGGCCTTAGAAATCAACTATTCTAAAACAAGCCCCACCTCCAACCCATTTTACAGATGAAGAAACAGTCCTACACAGATCAAGTTACTTGTCTAGGGTGGTAAGGTACCACGTGGGTAGTGAATAGTCGAACTAGGATTCAAATACAAAAAGTTTGACTGCAAATTTAATATTCTTTCCATTTCATGAATAAGTAAAGTCCAAGTTCATTTTATTTCACATAATGTGGAAGAAAATATCATAAAGAAGCATCCTATTCACTTTCACCAAGTATAAGGTAGAGTTAGTAATGACTGTGCTAGGGAAGAATTGGCTCCCAAGAACAAAATTACATTTATAAAAAAACAACAGTAGCAGCAACAGTTCTGTATCTGGTGAAAAGTCTTACTGGAAGGCCATTAGTAAACTACTCATAAAGTTATATTAAAGGATCTGCTTCTTGCCCTGGGCTAAAACAAAAGTCCATGGCTTCCTTTAGCCTAAGTCATCTATACTACTATCACATCCTGAGGTCTTGCTAGAGCATCAAATCACAGGCAGACGAAATCATATATTATTTAGGGCTAGCCTTTAAAGAAGGAGGAAAACAGAATTTTTGCTGCTACATCATGCTGAGTTAACAAAACAGAACAGAGAATAAATATTTGTGATTGAAGTAATTTTGTCTCTCTGGCCATTTCAAAATGAATTAACACAGACTGATTTAGAGACAGCATTGGGCACCACCATTCAGGAGTTTCAATCAATCAAGGGTGCCAGGTAGCTGTGGATACAAATCAATTGCTTTAAGAGGAAAAATGAACCAATCTTTTCAAAGGATGCAATCCACACTGGCCATGCTTTAGTATGGTTGATCTGTTAAGGAGATTCAGCATAGACTTATCCTTTAAGACAGATGTGGGAACCAGGGCAAATCATATACCTTCTCCCCTCCTCATCTCCTCTACATTTTGATACAGCTAACATCCAGTTGAAGAGAACATCAAGGGCTAATTCCCAGGGAAAAAGGAGATTCACAGCAGTTAACAAGGAGCCTTGAGGGAGTAGAGGGGTGGGGTACATGTGGAATATAAATTGGATTCAGAATCAGAGGACCTGAGTATGAATCCTTATTTTGCTATTAATAAATCTGCATGATTCTCAGTTTCTTCCTTTGTAAAATGAGGCACCTCTCAAAAGGATTTTACTTTTCCCTTGCTGTTGTTGTTCAGTCATATCCAATTCTTTGTGACTCCAAATTGGGGTTTTCTTGGCAAAAAAAGATGTTGGAGGAATTTCCCATTTCCTTCTCTAGCTCATTTTACATATGAAGAAACTGAGGCAAACAGGGTTAAGTGATTTTCCCAGGGTCATACAGCTAGTGTCTG